GTAGTACAGTCCAAATTCACCAGTTTCTACTGTAATGTTCTTTTCACTATAACAAAAAGACTTATTATAACTTTTCTTTGTATCTTCACAAATCCTTTTCCTTTTCCCTTGACTCAGAACAATACATGGCCCTTTTATTTTGCGAGGCTAAACCTTCTTATCTTTATTTTTTATTTCATCCATTTCTGCTACTCCAGAGCCCTATGGCCAATTACCTCTGGCTGTTAGGCACTTTCATATTCTCTCCTATTGGTTCCTATAAAACTCTCTTTTCTGTTATTTATTTAATCATTAAAAAGTCTTTTTAGGGGCGCCTGGGTGGCTTAGTCGGTTAAGCGTCCGACTTTCGCTCGGGTCATGATCTCGCGGTTCGTGGGTTCGAGCCCCGCGTCGGGCTCTGTGCTGACTGCCAGCTCAGAGCCTGGAGCCTGTTTCAGTCTGTGACTCCCTCTCTCTCTGACCCCCCCCCTGCTCACACTGTCTCTCTCTCTCTCCTAGAAATAAATAAAAATATAAAAAAAAAAAAAAAGTCTTTTTATTTTGAGCTCTCTCCATGTATCCTTCTCCTTTTTTTTAAACTTTAAAAAAATGTTTATTTATTTTTGAGAGAGAGAGAGACAGAGGAAGGGGCAGAGAGAGACAGAGACACCGAATCCAAAGCAGGCTCCAGACTCTGAGCTGTCAGCACAGAGCCTGATGTGGAACTCGAACCCACAAGCTGTGAGATCCTGACCTGAGATGAAGTCGGATACTTAACTGACTGAGCCACCCAGGTGTCTCTCCTTTTAAAAACTTTAAATTGTATACTCTCAATAGACTAACTTTGTTAACAATCTGATTTTACCTTAATCCTGGGCAATGTGAGTTCCTCCTTCTAATATTCATTCATTCCTTAAATATTTATTGAGCATAACTGATGTGTTACATTCCAGGCACTGGAAATACATTAGTAAAGAATTCCTTGAAGGGCCTTGCCTCAAATACCAATTTCTTATTTTTGATACCGGAAACACTGGATTAATTCCTATTCTTCTCGATTCCACTGCAACACTATTCACCTTCTGGAATAATCTCATTTTTCTAGAGCCCTGAACCCTCTGGTTTTCTGGAAATTTACTTTCTCTGTTTTTGGTTCTTTTTTCCAGACTTTAAATCTTGGGCTTTTCTCATAACATATTTGACCTTTCCTCTGGATACATATATTTCTTGTGGTTTCAATGATCATATTGATGGAGATGATTTCTAAGTCACCTCCCTAGCCTTGGCTTCTTTAAAAAATAACACTATTTTACATATATAAAGTTCCTCACCTTAAATCCCCAAAATGGCTCCTTCTCCATCATGGAGTATTTCATCCTCCATAGCTTGGGAGGGCCTCTGCAGTCTGTTTCCTACATATCTTTACCTTTTATCTCTTATATTCCTCCTACACAGCCTTGCATTGAAGCCAAAAAAGTCATCATTCTCCCCCCAAAACTGCTTGCTTACTTTTACCTCTGTCCTTTTCCATATGCTATTTCCTCTCTGGAATGTCCCTATCCATCTCTTTCTGTTATTTTTTAAAAAGTGAAACATTCTACATACAAAAGAGTGTATAAACATATGTATAGTTAAAATACGGTGAACTCCTGTACACTTATCACTCAAGTTAAAAGATAGTTAAAAACAAAGAGCGTATTTTTAGTACCTTATAAAGCTCCTGTGTTTCTCTAGTTTTGTTCCCCTAAAGTAAACCTCCATCTAATTTTTGTGTTAATAATCCCTTGCACTTTCTTCTCCTTTTTTATCATTTATGTATGCATATTAGGCAAAAGCAAAAAAAGGTACACATTGTTTAAAGAATACTACTGGATGCTTGTACCTGGATGTCCATCGTTCACTTCACATGTCTAGGCTAGAATCCATCATCTCTTGCCCTCACTGCCACCTGGATTTCCCCCCAGGGAGGGACTTGCTGCCCAGCTGTGGGGAATGCCATCAGTAGGCAGCTCTGAGGTCACACCCCGACCAGAGCAGCCCACATGTGGGGGATAGCTGAGTGAAGGAAGGTACAAGTGCCCAGCTATTTTCACCCTACATGGGGCAATCTGATAGAGGAAAACTCACTCCAGAGCTCAGTGTATTGGGGATTTGTTCGGTCTGCATCATAGTTAGATTTCATTCTTTGCCCAATCCTGTCTTCTCTGACTTCCCTTTAAAGGTGTGAACCTCCCATGAGCATCTTGTACCCTAAACTCCACCTCAGTTCTTGCTTTTGGGAACCCAGACTGCTTTACTGCCTTCCTTTTTCTCCTTTTAGCAAAACTGTTTTTATCTGTTTTGCATCTAAATTCATGGGTGATATTGGCCTAAAGGATTTTTTTTCTCATACCGCCCTGGTCAAATTTTAGTATCAATTATGTTAGTGTCATAAAATAAGGTAGGGGAGAAAGTTTTCTCTCTTTCTATGCAAAGAATTGTAATTATTGGTTCCTTGAATTCTATCAGTAGAATTGTAATTACTGGTTCCTTGAATTTTTTGGTAGATTTTTGCCATTAAAACCAGTGTTATATTTCTGGGAAGAGTTTTAAAATTGGATTTAAGTTCTTTAATCTCTTTAATGCAGTTATAGGATTATTTATGTTTCCAGTTTTATCACTTGTCCTCACAGAAAACAGCACATTCAAATAGAGTAATAGAGGGAAAACTAACAATGGTCTATTGACTATTTAGAAAGATGAGGACAGGATTAAGGGAAACCAGTAAGGAGCTGGTGAAGCATCCCAGTTGCTGGGATCTGCAAAGGAAATTATGCTTTTAGGAGAGAGCTGCCCCCATGAAAAAGAAAGGCAGACATTGCAAGCATGAGGCCTGGAGGGGACGGTCAGAAGACTGATACCCTTATCTTTCACCCACTCTTCCTGGCCTCTTGTTTCTTGTTAGTGCCTCTAATTGACCAAAACTAGCCATCAGTAAGAGCAAGGGAACCCGGTTTATGCAGTCCTTAAAGATCCTTCCCAGGGGTACAGAGTAGGGTGGAGAAGAAGGACAGTGAATCTAGAATGTCTAGCATAGTGAGTTTTGGTAAGTTATGTTTTACTAGATATTTGCTGATATTATCAAAATTTTGGAATATATTGGCATAAAGTTGTTTATTATAGTCTCTTATTCGCCTTTTAAAGTCTATAACATCTCTACTTATAGTCCTCTTTTGTTCTTGATATTAGTTCTATCTGCCATCTCTCTTTTTTCCTTGATTAGTTTCAAAAGAGGCTTATCCATTTTACTTGTCTTTTACATTAAAGAGCAGCTTTTTTGGGTAGATTCTCTGCAGTTTATTTTTGTTTTCTATTTCATTAATTTATATTATTATCTTTATGATTTCCTTTCTTATTCTTTTTGTATAGTGGTTGTATTAACTAGCTTTTAAAGATGGATACTTAGCTCATTGTTTCAAATTCATTTTAAGCCTTTTTTCTTTCTCTAATTTAAGTAGTTAGACTATATATTTTCCTCTAAATACTGCATTAGCTGCATCCTACAGAACTTGGTATAAAATATTTTATAATTCAATTTAAAACATTTTCCAATTTCTATCGTGATTTCATCTTTGACCCAAGAGTTATTTAAAAATGTGTTACCTAATTTCCAAACATATGAACACTTTCTAGTTATATTTTGGTTAGTGTTCTACCTTCATTGCTTTGGGCTGGACTATTGTTTGCATGGTAGCAATCATGAAATTTGTTAAGATTTGCCTTATAATATAGCATATGGTAAAATTTTGTAATGTTTTATTAATGCTTGAGTATTCTGCATACATCAGAGACAGGGATCTATATAATCCAATTAGATTAGAAGGTTTTTAAACTTTCATATGCTCTGTAATATTTTGTCAGTTTGCCCTATTATATACTGAAAGAAGTGTGTTTCACTCTCCCACTATTTCCACAAATATACAAAGTTTCTCTATTTTGTTTCTGTAGTTCTCAAAGTTTTTTTCCTTCATATGTTTTTAGGCATTTTGAAAGTCCATGTGGGCCAGTAGAAGCAACAATTGATTGCCATATAATACTTAGTACCTTTGTTTTCCTTTTACCAAAACTCTATTTAAATTCTTTTACATTTCTCTCTTTAAGGGGCTTACTGACATCAGAGGAGAGCCCATAGTAAAATTTTAAATGGAGTCAATAATAACAACGGAAGTTGGTGGGAGATGAAGTGAGATTAGGGCCAATGGATTTAGAGGCTTTTTCAAATCTCCTTAGGTGCCACCGTGATTATGGTTTGACCAAATGAATAGAGGTGATAGATAATTTTCAAAATATGCACATTCTTTTTAATAAGCAACATGGTGGCTTTGTATTGTGACAGCTTGGCTAGATTGAACTACATACTCTAGAATTCTTTTTCTGTATGTTTCCAACTACAATAGGTTGTAAGAGAAATTCTTTTGCAATATTTTGAGGTCACAGTGCAACAGTAGGCATATTTGTAACTCACACACATTGTCATATCTTTGCTGGCTTATCTCATTGGTGTGAGGCAGTGGCCATGACTGTAAGTGCCACTTGGGATCCTTCTTGAGCTTCTTTGACTTGTGGGCCAGCTGTGTGTTCAGCTCTGTGGTAGAGGCCTTGGTTTCTGCAATACATCCACACTGTCGAGGTTAGAGGCAATGAACACTGATGCTAATTTTTGTCTGACCTTGAGAACTTTAGCTCTTGTTGTGGGTTGCAGTTTATTTTTATTTTACTCGATTTTATACCCATCTTCCTTCCTGGCTGCGTGTCCTGTGGACTTCAAGCTACAGATCGGATGCAAAGACAACAGACTTACAGAGATTGCTGATTCACCTTCCATGATTATGTAAGGTCAAATCACTAACAAATCCCTGAGTATATTATCTCGTAGTGGTTCTGCTTCTCTAATGGAACCTTGAGTAATGTGGCCAATAATCCCAATTTTTTATTTTTTCCTGTTCTTTCAGGCAAATTTGGAGCCCAAAGTGACTGAAACCATGGGGGGAGGAAATAATTCGGTGGTGTCTGAGATTGTGTTGGTGGGACTCACCGATTCTTTGGAGATGCAGCTTGTCTTATTTCTAGTTTTCTCTGTGTTCTATGTCACAGGTATTTTAGGAAACCTCCTCATTGTGCTCACAGTGATCTCCGACTCCCATTTACACTCCCCTATGTACTTCCTGCTGGCCAACCTCTCTTTTATTGACATGTGGGTTTCCTCCATTGCAGCTCCCAAGATGATTTCTGATCTTTTCAAGGAGAGAAAAGTAATCTCTTTCCACGGCTGTATTGCTCAGATGTTCTTCATTCATGTTATTGGAGGAACTGAGATGGTTCTGCTCATTGCCATGGCTCTTGACCGTTATGTTGCTATATGCAGGCCTCTCCACTACCTGAACATCATGAACTTCAGAACTTGTATTCTACTCTTGGTGGTGGCCTGGACCATTGGAATCATCCACTCACTGATCCAACTTGTGTTTGTTGTAAACCTACCATTCTGTGGCCCCAACGAAGTGGACAGCTTTTACTGTGATCTTCCTCGATTTATTAGGCTTGCCTGCACAGACACTTACAGATTGGAGCTCATGGTCACAGCCAATAGTGGTTTCATCTCTCTGGGAACTTTTTTCATTTTGGTTATTTCCTATATCTTCATCTTGGTCATTGTTTGGCAATGTTCTTCAGGTGGCTTGTCCAAGGCCCTCTCTACTCTGTCAGCTCACATCACAGTGGTAGTCTTATTTTTTGGTCCATGTATTTTTGTGTACTCATGGCCATTTCCCACAGTCCCAGTGGATAAGTTCCTTGCCATTTTTGATGTAATTATTACTCCATTTCTGAACCCTGCCATCTATACTTTTAGGAATAAAGAGATGAAAGTGGCAATGAGGAGAATATTTAGTCAAGTGTTAAGTTTCAGGAAGATGTTTTAAGTGATCTTGATATCAAGAAAGATAAGCCTCTCTAACCTTCCCTGACTGTGCTATAGACATGAATCTGACAAAATACAACACCATGGATGTTTTACTTATTAGTTTAATTATTAATTCCAGAATTTTCTTAATGTATTTTCTGCCCATAACCAAGGATGATATGATGTGCTTTCTTATGCAATGTGATGGAATGAAAGTATTAATATATGACTATTTCCACATTATCTTGCTTCTCCTTTATAAAAGGGATTTTGGACTGGTCTCTCATATCTCTTTTCCAACTCTGTATTCTGAGCAGAATCTTCCCTTATAAGGTTGATTTTTGGGGTTTGTAATGCAGAATCTGAAGAAAAATGCTTTGGAAATTTGACAAAATTGCAATTATTAGGAATAGTGGGGATTTTTTTTCTTTTGAGGTTCTATAGTGAAATGTGTGGGAGTAGCTGTAGTGTGTGAAGTAAATAGATAAAAGAAAAAAGGATTTTAAAGAGATACTGTTGTCTATATCTTACCTTTTTTAAAATTTATTTTTTTAATTTTTCAGAGAAAGGAGACCATTTCAGTTTTTTTAAATGTTTGTTTATTTTTGAGAGAGAGACAGAGAGCATGAGCAGGGGAGGAAGAGAGAGACATGCAGAATCCAAAGCAGGCTTCAGGCTCTGAGCTTTCAGTGGAGCTCAAATCCATGAACTGCGAGATCATGACCCAAGCCAAAGTTGAACACCTAAGCAACTGAGCCACCCAGGTGTCCCACATCTTAAAAAAAAAAAAAAAAGTTTATTTATTTATTTTGAGGAAGGGAGAGAGAGAACAAATGAGTTGGTGAGGGGAAATGAAAGGGAGATAGCACTGTCAGTGCAGAGTCAATGTGGGGCTTGAACTCAAGATCATAACCCGAGCTGAAATCAAGAGTCTGAAATCAAATGCTGAACCCACTGAGCCACCCAGGTGCCCCTATCTCTTACCTTTCAATATATATTGCCCTTCAGTAAATGAAAGCAAAGAGCTAAAGTTATTTTCAATTATTTTTGTGTTTTTTAAAAATCATATCAGTCTGAAATTGGATCACTGGGTTATGGCTTCTTAAGCTTTTCGATGAATGCATGTGACAACTATGAATTAAGCCTTAGAATTACTCCAATTCTTTCAAAAGCTGTGTTCCTTTACTGTCAGGAGATTTAAATGATGGGGCCAGATAATTGACAAACACAATGACCTATTTAATAATTCTGTCCTGGTTAGTACTAATTCTCACTCTAATTATACTGAAATCAGCAGTGATTCCTTAGAGTTAGGTAGACTCTTTTCTTTTTCAGTGACAAGGTTATAAGCACACACTCTTGAGCCAGACAGCCTGACTTTTTACTTTAGCTTTACTTTTTACTTCTTACACAAATTGCTTAAGCTCTTTACATCTAAATTCTGTCATCTGTAAAGTAGATGTAAGTTGAACCATCTGAGATTTCTGATATTTGCTTTTGACCTACTAAAATGGCAGTTCCTTATGGTTAAAGGTACCTTCCTCATAAGGTTATAAGGATTGAACAAATTCATATTTGTAAAGTTTAAACAATTTTTGGTCTATAGTATTATATATGTGCCTACCCAATAAAGTGAATTAAAACATTAAAACCTCTTCTCAGTTTTGATGACCTTTCATGCTGTCTACAAATTATTTCCTTTCCCCCATTCATCAGACCTTGATCAAGAATGTACTCTTCCTGGGCTGCTTGGCTGGCTCAGTCATGGAGCATGCAACAGTTGTGCTTGGGGCTGTAAGCTCAAGCCCCATTCTGGGTATAGAGATTACTTAAAAAATAAATAAATAAATAAAAGAATGTACTCTTTTCCTAACAAGACTAGAGTATTTTAAATGATAAAATTCTTTGATACTTCAACATACCATAATTCAATTTACTTTCTACACTTCCTTTTATTTTCAGATTGCCTTCTCAAGAGCTATGCAATAGTTCTATGAACGTTGTTTTGGTTATCTATGGTGCTTTTTGTTTTTTTTTTCTTTCATAGTTCATTGTCAAGTTGGTTTCCATATGATACCCAGTGCTCATCCCAACAAGTGCCCTCCTCCATGCCCATCACCCCTCTTCCTTTCTCCCCCACCCCCATCATCCTTCAGTTTGTTCTCAGTATTCAAGACTCTCTCATAGTTTGCCTCCCTCTCCCCAACTATTTTTCCCCTTCTCCCCCCCCCCCCATGGTCCTCTGTTAAGTTTCTCCTGATCCATCTATAAGTGCAAACATATGGTATCTGTCCTTCTCTGCCTGACTTATTTCGCTCAGCATAACACTCTCAAGTTCCATCCACATTGCTACGAATGGCCAGATTTCATTCTTTCTCATTGCCATGTAGTATTCCATTGTATAGATAAACCATATCTTCTTGATCCTTTTGTCAGTTGGTGGACATTTAGGCTCTTTCCATGATTTGGCTATTGTTGAAAGTGCTGCAGTGAACATTGGGGTACATGTGCCCCTATGCATCAGCACTCCTGTATCCCTTGAGTAAATTCCTAGCAGTGCTATTGCTGGGTCATAGGGGAGTTCTATTGTTAGTTTCCTGAGGAAACTCCACACTGTTTTCCAGAGGGGCTGCACCAGTTTACATTCCCACCAACAGTGTAGGAGGGTGCCCGTTTCTCCACATCCTCGCCAGCATCTATAGTCTCTTGATTTGTTCATTTTTGCCACTCTGACCAGCGTGAGGTGATATCTCAGTGTGGTTTTGATTTGTATTTCCCTGATGATGAGGGATGCTGAGCATCATTTCATGTGTCTGTTGGCCATCTGGATGTCCTCTTTGGAAAAGTGTCTGTTCATGTTTTCTGCCCTCTATGGTGCTTTTTAATATGCCAGAAGTTACTAAGCTGACTAGGTTATGAAAAAATTACATAAATAGAAATTTAATTAATCAAAAAAGGTATTAAATTCTTACTATGTTCTAAATCCCATGCTAAGAACTGTAGAAAGTTGTGTTAGAAGTATGCAACTTAATTGTAGAGAGGGATGAACCATCTCTGAGGCAAAAAATTATGGCAAGAAAGTAAGTGGTGTGGTAGAGTGAGCAGACCCAACAAAAGGGTTTGAGTAGAGGGAATTCATGAATTTGTGAATGTTATGGATAGGGCTAGATCCCATGCTGATCAGTCTTTTGAGGTAAGTGCATGCCCTGGGAAGAAGAGAAGCTCATGGAAAGCTTTGGAGGCTTTGGGCAGGTTGAACCACAGCATGATGGGGGACTGATACCTACTTCACCTCATTGCCTAACCAGGATTGGTAAAACCTGACAAGATTTGGTTTTGCCAACTTCATTGACCTGTTTTTGCTCTTCTTAGCCATTTTGGACTTTCTGTTGTTTGAATACACCAAGTTCATGGTCTGAGACGTGTACACTGGCCTTTTCTTCCACTTGCAGAGAGCTTTGCCTGGGTATAGGCAGGGCTGTCTCCTCATCATTCAAGTTTCAGCCTGTGTGTCAACCCAAGAAAAAGTCTTTTTTTCTATTATTCCGTCTTGCCTTTCTACTCCAGCCGTTCTCTATCAAATGCTTTGTTGAACATCTCCATTTGAATGATTGCTTTGTATCGTATTACTATTTTTTTTTTAATAGCTTATTTATTTTTGAGACAGAGAGAGAGAGAGCACGAGCTGGGGAGAGGCAGAGAGAGAGGGAGACACAGAATATGAAACAGGCTCCAGACTCTGAGCTGTCAGCACAGAGCCTGATGCGGGGCTTGAACCCACAAACTGTGAGATCTGACCTGAGCTGAAGTTGGACGCTTAACCGACTGAGCCACCCAGGCGCTCCTATTTTTTGTTTCTTAAAAAAAATTTTTTTAAGAGAGAGAGTGCAAGCATGCAAATGTGGGATGGTTAGAGAGAGAGAGAATCATGAGCAGACTCCACACCTAGCACTGAGCCCGACATGGGGCTTGATGTGGGGCTCCATCTTACGACTGTGAAATCATAACCTGAGCTGAAATCAGGAGTTGGATGCTTAATTGATTAAGCTACCCAGGTGCCCCAATTATTTTTTGTTTCTGTCCACAGGGAAGGAAGGTCCATAAAGCAGAAAATATGATTTTTTAAAAAATCTTTGTACCTGGAGGGATGTCTGGCCTACAGTGAGAAAGCAATAATTATTTGTTTTTGTCCAAAGAGCAAATGGTAAATAAAAGCTGAGAGAAAGAGAAACAACTCTTCCTTTCTGAATTGAAAGAAATGGAAAGAAATGAGAAAATCTAGTAGATGTAGCACAAATGCTAAACTTATTCAGGATAACAAACTTGTGGAATTTGAAGTCATTTGTAGGTTACATATATGTAAGCATAAGGAAGATAAGAAAACAAATCACCAAAAATCATTTCACTCAAATATAACTGTCAAATTTTTGTTATATTCCTTTTATGATTTTTCTTTATGCTTTAAAAAATTATACAAAACAGAATCACATTGTTCTATAATCCATTTAACAATATGATATGTAAATCATTTAACAATACAGATATTGGTCATTTGCCAATGTGATGTGTAAGTCTTTTTATGCTGATAAATCCACTCCTAGGATGAAGTTCTTGGTCACTATATGGTAATCTATTGTATCACTATAGCTATATTGCTTCAGTCAGTACTTCATCGCTGACATTTGAGTTACTTCCAACTTTTAGTTTTCAACAACTCTGCTATGAAAGATGATGTACCTTTTTATATACACACAGCTTTGATTACTTCCTCATAATAACTTAATAGAAATGAAATTGCTGTGCCGAAATGTATTTGTAAGGCTTGATTAAATATGGCAAAAATGTCCTTTAAAATGATTAGGTTGATTTAAAATTCCATCAGCAGCAGAGGGGCACCTGGGTGGCTCAATTGGTTAAGCGTCTGACTTTTGGCTCAGGTCATGATCTAGTGGTTTGTGTTTGAGCCCCGCATAGGGCTCTGTGCTGACAGTTCATAGACTGGAGCCTGCTTCAGATTCT